AACTGAATCGCTGGTGTGCAGCCACACATTCTTAGGGACTCTTTTTTTTTTGGGATCATGCATTCCAGGTTTAACAGTTTTTGTTGTTTTGTTTTTTTTTACTGCAAAGGCAAAAAGAAAGAATCTATCTTTAGACAGCACCGTACTGTTTTTATTATGCCTATAAAATCTGAAGCTACATGCATTTTGTGCTACAACTTGGCAATTTAGCATGGGTTGTTGGTTGAATGCACAAATCAGGCTACATTGGTTTATAAATGCAACTTGAATCTCCTTGTGGGTTCCCTGTAGCCAAATTACTCATCATGGTTACCTTTTGTTTTCAGTTTTTCAAGTGGTGCACTCAGACCTTTGCAAAGTGTGTTTGTAAATTGTTGCAGCTAATGAGATTTCTGAACCCAAAGGCAAAACACGGTTGCAATTTTTTTCAAACAGACTCATTTGAGGGAAGCCAGGAGAAGAGAGGGCTGTAGCAGGTGAGCAGCTGGTGTGGGAATCTTGACCTTGCGTGATGACTGGTGGCTCTGAGTGTGCTGTGTGGCTCGGTGGGCGGCTGACTGACCGTTTGCAGACCGAGGAGGTGGACGTGGCTTCCAGCACACTGAGCCGCACGCTGAAGCTTGATTGGGGAAAGCAGGCTGGCAAGGGGACTCTAGAGGAGACTGGAAGCAGAGGCAGAAGGAAGTTTGAGGTTAGACAAAGAGCAATAGCACTGAGGAGCATAAATTACAACAAGTGTTTGGCCAACAATACTAGAACGGGAGCAGGCAGAACAATGTGGTGAGGAGTGAAGTGACGAGCTGAAAGAAGAACAGGTGGCCACGCCCATGGCGCACACATGGAGAGAAGACAAATGGGAACAAACAGGAGACAAATTGGAGAGAGGAGAAAACAGTAGAAACACAAGAAATGGGGAGAAGAATAATGACACCATGGAAGTGATACATTATTCATGTACGCTGCCCACAGAAAACCAGGAGACAACCTCTCCAGTAATTAGTTTTGTTCAATTTTTTGGGGCCAACCCTGACACCACTTCAGGAGCTGAAGATAGGTTTGATAGTGCCAGTGTGAGCGCAGTCTAACTTTGGAAGATTTTTGCGCTGAATTTTGCAAAAGTAATCACAGAAACAGTACTGCTGCTCATTTTCACAAAGGAACTGAAAATGAAAACAGAGAAAGGATGAAAGTAATTAATTAGGGCCCTGTGTGTGCTGATTCTGTGATTCCCCCACACTCCTCTGAAGCATCATTGAGCTCTTTGTTTTGGTGTCCATTCATATCTCTGCTTTCATAAACCTGTTCAGGAGAAAAGAGAAAAAAGTGTTTTCAGCTAAAAAGCACTGATAAAGCTTCTAATGTTTAACTTTTTTTTAATGTGTTTGCTGCCATCGAAGCCTTATCCAAGCTGTACTGTTAACACTATTGTACTGATCCAGACACAAACATCTGTGTGTCCACTGTATGAGTATGAAGGCAGGACCGTGAGTGTTGAGTGCTTATGCTGTTTTGCATCTCTATGTTGTTGTGTGAAATGTGGACAATCTGCAAAAACAAATCTCCCTCAGGACACTAAAGGATTATCTACCAGTAAGAAATTCATGGGGAGGAAACACACCAGTGTTGTGTTTTCAGCTTATTTCACAGCCTCAAGTGGCCAGAAAATCCATTAATGCAGTTTTAATTTGGTAGATGAGCCACAAACAAACATTCCTGTTTGGTTATTTTAACCATAAACGTCAAGCTCAAGTTTCACATTAAAGGTAAATGATTCAGTGTGCCAGTTTTT